TTTAGAGACTCTTTCTCTTTTTCATCATCTCTGGTTAAAATTATATCATCAATATACATTAAAAGAACCATGACTCTCGTTGAATCTCCCTGAATCCGAGTGCTTGATGAATAGTGTGTAATCTCCGTAACTCAGCTTATATCCCATTGCTATCATTACTTTGGCAAATCTCCTGAACTAGGCCTTAAGAGACTGTTTAAGGTCTTAAAAAGCCTTTTTTAGCTTGCATCCTTTCTTTGCTTCTATATGACCTCTAAATCTCGGTGGAACCTTTATATATTTTCTTTTTCCAAATCACCATGTATAAAAGCATTTCTTATGTCAAATTGTTAAAGCAACTGGTTGTAATTTGCAACCAAGGATAACAAAATCCTAACTGTATTCATCTTGGCAACTGATGCAAAAGTTTCCTAATAGTCAATTCCATAAGTTTGAGTGTAGCCCTTAGCCACCAACTTAGCCTTAAACCTTTAAACAATACCATCTGCATTTTATTTTATGGTGAAAACCCATTCACACCTAATTGGATTTTTTATTTTAGGTAATTTCATCAATTCACATGTGTTATTTTTCTCTAAGGCCACCATTTCTAGTTTCATGGCTTGCTTCCATTTTTCATTGGATGATGCCTTAGATATGTAGTTGGAATAGAAAAAGTGTTTAGACTCAACAAAATTTTTTGTGAGATTGTGAGAATTTTTGAAATGGCGCAAAATTAGATATTGGGTATAATAGATGCTTAGTACATTCTATGGTTCATTTTCTAATGGCAATAAATAAATCATAATCACTAGTTTTAGTTTCAGGAGATTAATCCTCATTTTGAGAAATAAAGTAAGAGATTCTAGTTACCTTATTTCCAGAGTTAGGATAAGGTTTTTAGACTTGCACCAGTTCAGGAGCTGAAACTTTCCTTTGTAATTACTCTTACAATTCCTTCATAGAATCAAGAATAGTGTTATCCTTATTCACAAGTTTTGTGTTTGGAGTGAGTTCAGATGTAGATTCAGTGTTTGACTTGGACCCAGAAGAAATAGGTTCAGACTCATAAGAATTAATGGGGTGAAGATATTGAAGGGGAGGACAAGTTAAACAAAAACAAGTCTATCCTTTTCTTCATTAAATGAAGTTTCCCTCTGAAGATAAGGTTGAGTAAAAAATAGTTTACTTTCTTCAAATGTGACATTTGCTAACAATTTTTTGGTAGAAGGATGATAGTGTTTATATCCTTTTTGAGTTGATAAATATCCCACAAAAATGCACATAACTACTCTTGGCTTCAATTTTTCCCCATTATGACTGTGAACATGAACAAATTATGTGTGACTAAATATCCTAAGTGTGAGGTTGTTTGTGGTATTAAAGTTGGGATAGAATTGTGAGAGTATTTTCACTGGAGTTTTAATCCCAAAACCCTTGAAGGTAACATGTTTATGATGTTTGTGGCTGCAAGAATAGTTTCCCCCTGTGGGATTTGGGTACATTGTCTTGAAAAAGTAAGCGTTGGGTAAGTAAATGGCTGTTTTTCCTCTTTACCACTCCATTCTGCTATGGAGTATTAACACAAGATGACATGGATAATCCCCTCTTTTTGGAAATAGGTAGATAGACTCTGGTTGAAATAGTCTCTTTCATTATCAGACTTAAATCTCTAGATTTTCACTCCAAATTGATTTTGGATCATGTTTTGGAAGCTTAAAAACACATTGTTCACATCTGATTTGGATTTAAGTAGAAAAATCTAAGAGACTTTGGTACATTCATCTATGACTGAAGCAAATCACCTTGCATTAAAAATACTAGGAATTGTAGAGAGACCTTATATGTCACTATGAATTAAGTAAAAGGGAGTAGAACTTCCTTTATTGCTAATTGGAAAAGACACACATCTATGCTTTGCTAGTTTACAAACATCACAATGAAAATTTTCATCCTTTGAATAAAAAAGGAAACATAGTTTTCAAAGTTCCAAAAGAAGGATGTCCAATATAGGAACATGAAGAACATTTTTAAGAACAAATGAGGGATTAATATAAACATCTCCTAATCTTGCCTCTGTAGTAAGTGAACCATTTGTAACAACAATTTCTTATTACCAGGACAGCAGGTATATGTACTAAATTTCTATAAAGGATGTGTCATGTGGTCTGTGGCTCTTGGGTCAATGAGCCAAGAACTCGTAATAGACTTATCCGAGAAATTTAATCCATGAGAATTAGAGATTTTACTTGAACTAGAGACCATACTTTTCAAAGGTTCCCAATAGGCTTCTTAGTTTCTCAATCTCTTCTTTATCCAACTCTCATTGTTCTTGAAAATTTTCCTAGTTTGATTGCATTGCAATCATGTGAGCTCGCCTTTGATTTCTTTGCTGTCCTCCTTTATAGCCCCATTCTTTGCTTGAAGTTGGAGGTTTTCCATTTAGTTTCCAATAACGATCCATGGTGTGCCTCGGCTTCTTGCAATAGGTGCACCAAAGATTGTCACTACTTGAGGTTTTAGCCAAATCACTTTTCCTTTTCTCATTGATTGTTAATTGTTTTAAGCTTTGTTTATTCCCACCATTAGACACTATAGAGATCCTTCTACATTCAGGCTATCAAGCATCACTCCTTTTCTACTATCTTCTACTCTAATCATGGACATCACCTCATTTAAAGAATGTAGATCTCTTTTCCCAAAATTTGCACTATGACTTGATCAAATTCAATAATAAGTCTCGCAAGAAAATCATAGACTCTTATCTTTTTCAATAAACTTTTTCAAAGTTGCCGCATCTTCACTACACTTCATCTTTATGCACCAATAGCGGTCAATCTCTTGCCAAAGATTTTTCAGAAGAATAGCATACTTTGTGATTGACTTATTCCCTTGTTTGAGAGTTGCAGTCTTGATCTTTATTTCATAGAGTTGAGCAGCATCCCTAACTTTGGAATAGGTTTGTGGAACTGACTGCTAGGGTTGTAAACGAATTGAACATGAATGAATGAATATATGTCAGTGGTTTGTTCGTTTATTTTTAGAGTGTTTAGGCTCGATTTGTATTTGGTAAGAAAATTGCTCTATTTGTTCAAGTTTGGTTCATTCAAATGGTAGGATGTTCATGTTCTATTTGTGTTTGGCTCGATTAAGTTTAACGAACTCGTTTGTGAATATTAAATGAACATGTTCATGAATATATATAAACGAACATGTTCATGAATGATAAACAAACCATAACTAAGCAAATTTAAACAGACGTTAAATGAATATAAACGTACATAAACAAACCCTAAAATATGATTAGGATAAAGGATAAAATGTAATTTTGCTATGATTATTACTGAATTATAAAAAAACATAAACAAATCCTAAACAAACATAAATGAACCCTAAACGAATGAGTTTTAAACAATCATTAAATGAGGTTGTTTGTGAATATAAATGAATCAAGCAGGCCTCTGTTTGTGTTTGGTTCATTTAATAAACGAATGTAAAAATGTTGTTCAAGATTGTTTATTAAGCTTAATAAACAAACATAAACTAGACATATTTGCGAAAGGTTCATTGAAAGCTTTGTTCATTTATACCCTATTGACTTACCAATGTTTTTGGCCATGGATAAAAACATGCAAGTGTCACAGATATCTGGTGTCATAAAATTCCACAACCATGACATAACCTTGGAATCCTCTTCATCCCAAGCTTCAAATATTGGATCTCCTCTCTTGGGTTCGGTACCAAGAAGATGGCTGAGTTTTCTTTTCCTTTTTAGCAAGGTTTGAACCAATTGAGACCCATGTCAAGGAGTTCTTTCCATTCAACCTATATGCAACTTGGATATTTTGTAGTTCTCTTGTGGTTTGACCAGTTGCCATTTCCTTAAATTGAGTAGTTGTGGCAGATTCTACTATCTTTTTTAAGACTGAAATGAGTCTTGACAGTGAAGATTTAACCAAAAATGATTATTGGCAATGAAGGCCAAAGAATGAAAAAAATAAAAGAATATGAAAGACTTAATAGGGTTTGGCTATGAAGGCATGAAATAGAAATCAACAATGAAAGGCTAAAAAAAAATTTGCTTCCCAAGAAAAGCCTAAAGCTTTGATACCATGTGAAAAATTGAGAATATATTGAATAGCTTCTTTAAAGAATTACAAAAGCATCTTAGATTTATATACAGCTAACTAAAAGATAAACTAGAAAATTAAATCTTCCTAAAGCTAATCCCCATAATTGAAGGATTGTCTATCCTAATTTTTGTGTCTTTAATTCTAGGGATACAAATATTTACTGATTACAACAGCTGTAATTAAGTGGTTTCTCACAATTATCAATCTTCTAATTATCAAATAGCAAAAAAATGCTTCCTTCCCTTCATAGGAAAGTATATTGATGACACAAGCATTTGCATATGGTTCAGTTTACTTTATAGAAAGACACACTTATAGATTTTTAAGCATCACTTTTTAATGTGCCAATGATGCAAGGTTTTTACACTTTTCTTAAGCATTACTTATTTTTCTTAAGCATCTTCTGAAATTCCAATTGAATGATTGAACCACCTGTTTTAGAAAAAAAAAAATTCCAAAAACCCGGCTTTCATGTAGTTTTGTATATATTTAACCATATTTCCTTATGCAACAATATTTTTACATTTGTTAGTATACCCTCAAACTCTTTAGCATCCTGAAAGACTTTCTTTCCCTCAATTTAGTACAGGTCAAATAAAGTTTATTATAACTTTTGGCATGACGTCAATAATTCAATTTTTACTTTTACGAGTTGTGGAGGCTGCTGCGTCCTCTACGTTATATGTAATCCATCCCCGGTTATCAAGAATATTACATCATAGGCCTTTTTGAGGAATTTAAGATATGCATTCCCCCATTACTTGTATTTTTTGGGCAATGATTATGCGTCTAAATATCTTTAGCCACCATCAAAATTGTAAAATTTCAGTTCACTGCATCTCACTCTACCTATTGAAAGAACTTCAACTACCCTAAATGCACTTGCAGGTTCTGTAAAGGATTCAGTGGTTGGTGAGGATCGCATTGTTCAATACCTGCTGGCTGTTCTAAATACTCGAGGCACTCCACTTCACTGGAAGCAGGTAGCTAATCAAAGGGAAGAGATCACCCAAATTTCTGAAGACAAACCAGACTACAATCCAAAAGATCTTCGTGCAAACAGAAAGAGGGCGCTCAATGCATCTGATTTGCTGTATGTCAAGGTAATAAGAGTCAGCTCTCTCTCTCTCTCTCTAATTCAGGATTTTCAATGCCGTGAGAAGTGTTTTTTTTTTTTTTTTTAGTTTTTGTGGTCACTTCAAATTGTAATATAGAGTCTTAAAATATGACACTGTTTAGAATTTGTCACTGTTTCCTAAGATGGTTGACACTTGTGGAAATAGTTACACAGATATCTACTTTACCACCAGAAGATGCTTAAATTTGATCTGTTGGATATTTTTCTATTTTGAGTTCTTATGGCTGATTATTTAGCAGAACTCCTTAGTTGCTGGATGTGGGTGAGGGTGAGGTTTCCTAGAGAAATGTTAGTGATGGACTATATGGTCTTCACTAGTTTTCAGTAATCTTAAAACAAAATTCTTGGATAGGTGTGAAAAACATCTGATAATTAGGCCCAGCAGAATTGCGTAGTTGCTCTTTTGTGAATCTTGGATGCTCATATCTCAGGGTGATCTGGACTCACTAGCCACACGATCTATGTGGAACTTTTGTACAACAATCTCATAACATAAGGTCTGACACTTGTACAAGGTAGAATGTGGTTCAGATAAAGGATTATACTGAAGGCTTTAATGTCACAGACAGTAAGCAGTGACAATAGAGAGCTGTGTGGGCAACATCTGACATAAGTGTTGATATTCAATAAGATATAATGCGATCTAACTTAAACGAATATAAGTTGGAGTTCATACTATGCATACTCAGATTCATTTGTACACCTTGAAGTCTCAAGTTAAGAGTAATAAATCTTCAAAAGGTAATTGAAAAAAAAAAAAAAAGAAACACTTTAAGTTAACTAGAAGCTTGTGGAGTCCCACAGTATGGCACCTAACCACACTCTAGAGTAGTATAGTTGAGATTATCCTTCTCCAAATTACCTTGAAATGAAAGATTAACATCCTTAATGCAGTTAGGTTATTCTTAGTAGGTGACAAGCATGGAGGTGCTCGTAATGACTGCTTTTATTTTTCTTCTATTATAACAAAGCCGTTTAGTCCTCTTAAAAGCTTTTAAGGGCTGATTAGCCCTACATCAAGACCTTCAGCTCAGATGATTTCTCAATAAAATCTAAATTGTATTGGATAAAGTCAAATTTGAAGGAAGTGCGTAATCTTCTTTATTTCTAAGTTCATTGTTCTTGCTCATTTTCAGGATCTTGTGAAAGAAGTCCAACATGCATTGTATATAACTTTGTCTGAGTTCGATGGTAATATGGAAGATGAGAATGAGTTGGAGTGCCTTATAGAACATCAATTCGAAGTGCTGCAGAGAGCATTGAAGATACCTCATAAATCATCCGAAGCTCGTTTGATGGTATCAAAGAAGTTTCTTACTTTGTTTAGGGCAGGTAAACTGGGTTCTTTTGTCCTTGATGATGTCCCTGAGTGAAACCTTGTATCATAAAATATATTTCCGGAATTTTCACAGCAATATGAAGGAATGGTGATTGTACTACCTCGCTGGTTTTTAGCAGCAATATATTTTCTTTTTTTTTTCTTTCTTTGTTCTGTTAAAACACAACTGAAGAAACATGCTAGGTTTTTATCTTTCTGGTCATTGGCTTTTTCCTTAATTCCGACCAGCTAATGATATAGGTGAGAAAGTATTGATGAGAAAGCATAGGAGAAATGCAGAAAAGTACAGAAGATTTAAAGGAACAAAAAAAAATTTAGGTATAATGTGTCATCTAATAAATGTATTAAAAAGTAATTAAATTACCATGATATTGTTGGAAAATTTCATGAAAGCGGATAGATAATAAATTTTAAGGACAAAATAAGGTTTTACCTTTGGGTGAAAAAGGTCATGTTTAAGAGAACTTTGACAAGCCAAATGGGGTTCAGACCCTCCCACCACCTATGGATTGGCATAAAAGAACAAAAAAAATAAAGAAAACTCATTAACCCTGTAAACAGACAAACAAATATTCTCATTCTTTATATAAACTGAAAAATGTTTTTATTTTTGGCTATTTGTCTATTTTTTATTTAAAAATTATTTTCTACATTTTCTTTTTCATTAATTTTTACCCAAAATAAAAAAAATAAAAGGCAAACAGCAAAAATATTTATCATGCCAAGTCTTAGTGAGTGAAACCAATGGCGAAAACCTTAAATTCTCATTAAAAATGTTCATGGGATTGGTTGGACTCATCATGTCTCTTTTTAAAATTTAATCTTGAGTCCGATTAAATCTATTTACAGGTGACAAACGGATGGTTGGATAATCATTTTAAGTTGAATGGAATTAAATTAGGTATTTTAGAATTTTGATCATTTTGGGTTTAAATTATTTTAGATTTAGAATATCTTGAGTTAGGGTGATTTTAAATTTGACTTTTTAAATTTAATACCAAATTATTCAAATTCGAATTATTTGGGTTTGGATTATTCTCAAACTCAAATCATTTATTTTTAAAGTCAAATCAAATTAGACTTTAAATCAATGTTTAGATAAAATAAAAATTTATGAATTGTAATTAAATTATTCAAAATTATATTTTTTTCAACTTGCAGCATATCTTAAAATTTGATTTTTGATATCATAAATATATATATTTTTATATATAATTGTAAAAAACACTTATTTATGGTTTATTTTTATCAACTTGTAGCATATCTTCAATTTTGCTTTTTGATATCATAAGTATATTTATTTATGATATATCATTAAAAAACATTTTTATTACGGAGTATAACTGAATCAATTAAATTTAATTATAATAGCAAAAAATTTATTTTTAATAATTTTTATTTGTAACTAATATAATACTCATAATTAAGAAAGATAAACATTGAAGGTTTATAAAAATATATCAAAAAAATTTAAAAGATAACATAAAGTTATTTTGGGATTGAATCAATTCAAATTCGAATTATTTTGGGTTTGTACTATTTTTGGTTAAAATATTTTGGGTTCTAAGTTGTTTTTTTTGTTTAGGTTGATAGGGTTTAAATTATTGATTTTTTTGTTAATTATTAAAGTAGATTTGATTAGATTAAATTTAGATGTATTAGGAGGATTTTTTGACTTCGAGTCAACGGGATCAATTGGGTTGATTTTATTTTTGCTTTTAGTATTATTATTATTTGTTATTATTATTGTTACTAGCATTATATTATTATTATTATAGTATAGTATATTATTATTCATTGTAGTATATTATTATTATTATTATTATTATTTGCTTTCTTTTTCTCCCTAATTGGCGATTGAATGAGGAAACTAGAATTTGTAATAACCAAATCCAATATGTATATTCAATCAGAATCAAATTCAGGGATTTTTTCAGACAAATCAGCAAAAGCTTAGCTTAGAATCATGCTTGGGTAAAATTTAATCCTAAGATTTAAGCTTGAATTGGTTCTATCCGATCCCTAAAATTATTACTGGATACAGCCTATAAATTGAACAGTTCCCAGATAACATAGAATAGGGTTAATTTAGAGGGAGGAAATTTTGAAAAAGATTCTAGGTTTAAGTTTCTGCTAGGATTTTTAAGTTTAGGTTTTGAGAATTTTGAATTTAAATTTCTGGATTTAATTTGAAGTTCAGGGTTTGGATTTAGGTTTGTAGAGTTTGGATTGAAGTTCTGAAAGGTTTCTGAAGTGATCTGGAAAAATCTGGGTTTGAAATGAATTTTTTGGTGAACTTTGAATTTTTCGACCAGTTTTCCAAAAATTAATGGGTTTTCTCAGTTTTTGGTTGAATGTTCTTGAGCTATTCTTAGCTTTCTAGAGAGAAAAAAGAGAGAATCAAGGTTAGAGAGAGAGCAGAGGGGGTTTGAAGAAAAAACGCAGAACTTGGCTTTTATAGCAACCTAAAATGACACTGTTTTGAGAGTCTCAGACCTGCGTGCCGACCCACATGCTGACCTTACTTGATCGTATGTTTTCCTTTTTCTATTTTAATTTTAATTTTTGATTTTTTTATATTTTAAGTTATATATTTTTGATTTTTTTAATTTTATTTTACTGTTTTTTATTATTTATCGAGTAATTTATGATTTATTAAAAATTTAATTATAAAAATTATTTTTCTAAAAAAAACAATAATAAAAAAATTACTTTTTCAAATAAATTCATGAATCCTACCAAACTATTAAAGAATTTTCATGGATTTAAATTTTATGGAATCCACCAAACTATTTAGAAATTTCATAAATAAATTTCAAAAATAAAAAAATAAAAAAAAAATAATTTTTATCATACCAAACTATTGAAGAATTGTATTTCACATTAAGTCTTACCAAACTATTTAAAGATTTAATGAACTTTCTCAAAAGAATAAATTTTTTATAAATATTTTCAAATAAAATCTTACCAAACTATTGGGAGATATGCCTCAAAGTAAATCCTACCAAACTATTATACGGCTTTACTAGTTTTTTTGAATAAAATAATTAATAAATTTGATGACAGAGCCTCTTCAGGATATGACACTAGTTTCCATGAATATTCCTAAGGTGAGAGGATTATCTTAAAATGCTACCAAACTATTAGGGTAATTTTAGGATTAATTTTCAGTATTAAATATTTTGGTAAAATATAAACATATTTAAGGCTTAGATAATTTGAAATCAAACTAGTATCATCTTTTGGATGGGCGATGTGTGGGTGTTATAACCTTTCCTATGCATAACCGTACTCTCGAACCTAAAATCTAATTTCGTGGATGAAAATTTATTATTTAAAGATACCTAAGTCAATCTTGGGACTTTTCTTTAAATGGGATAGATTCAATCAGGTGGCCAATCACACCTAATAAAAAAAGATTGGTGGTGACTCCTTTAATTCATGTCTAACGGTAGGTCCACGGATCTATACGTTATAACAGTTTGGGGACTCCACTGAAAAATTGAGAGTCAAGCTAGTAAATGATTTATTATTATCCAAGCCTTGCTTAATAAATTTGAGTTCATTTTCCTTTTTTTCTATTTCATTGCTTATATTCTGTTTAGTTATTCACCTATATATATGTCATTCATTTGCATGTGCGTAACATAAGTTTTCCATTCGAGCTCTACCCTTCGAAGGGATTGAAGTACCTATGCCCTCATGAGATTTTATGTCTCCGCTCAGGCCTGCAAAATATTCCCACTCAAATTGAACATGGTAGTAATGATCGAAACATGAAAGGTAAGGGTGCCACCAATGGGAGCACATGGTTAAAAATTGATAGATTTCCTTAATGAAGTACAAAGTCGGTATTGACAAATTATGGATTTCTTTTCCTAGTAAATTCTAGACTTTTCAGGAATGTAATGTTGGATTTGGTTAAAAATGACTTTAGTTTCAATAAAGATTTTCTTTGATAACAATTGTTATGTGGTAAATTCTCCTTATTACATTCATACATTTTGTTTTTGCATTTATTCTCATACATAATTTGAGGGTTCCATAAACATCATTTTAAATTTGCACATTGTAGGAAATCAAGGTTCAAGGATAGCTCAACACCAGTATTACACTTAGGCTAGAGCCAAGGAGATGAAGTAAGATAATGCAAACTATTTTGAAAGCTTAGAAAAGGCTCAAAAGGTAATTGAGGGGAAACTAAGCAAGATCTTTGAAGTTCTAGAAAAGATAAACAAAAGAAAAGTAATAAAAGAAGATACCTTATATAAAGATATTGAGTCATTGTATCCTTCAGGTTTCAGTTCGTATCAGACCCAAACCACTCTAAATTTTTAGCTACAACAAACTACGTTTCTAAATTACAGTCAAGAGAATGTTTAGAGTTATACTAATCTTATCTTGGCTGAAAAGGCATTTGAGCCCATTCAAATCCCTAAACTAGACAATACAAAAAAAAAAAAGTAAAGTTGCAAATGGCCGTACTTTCAAAAGACTCTAAGAATGATCAAACCATGAGCATGATTGAAAAAAGATTATGGGCTATAAAAGTAGTAGATTTTTATGGTTCCATGGATGTTACCAACCTTTGTTTGGTCCTAGATATTGTGATTCCTCCAAAATTCAAAGTGCCAAAATTTAAGAAGTACGATGATACTAAGTGTCCCATTACATACATCACAATATATTGTCATAAGATGGTGACACATGCTAGCAATGATAAACTGCTCATGTATGTGTTCCAAGATAGCTTAATCGAGTCTGTTACAAGGTGGTATGTTTAATTGGACAAGAATTGCATAAGACCATGGAAGGATTTGACTCGATCCTTCATCAACCAATACCATTACATTATAGATATGGCTTTTGATCACCTTTCATTACAAGGTATGGAGAAAAAAGCATTTGATTCTTTCAAGGAGTATGCCCAAAGATTGCAGGATGTCACTGCTCAAGTACAGCCACCACTAATAGACAAAGAAACAATGGTGCTATTTGTAAGCATTTTAAAGTCACCACACTATGAGAAGATGATAGGGAATGCCATTAAAAATTTTGCTGACATGGTGATTTTAAGGGAGATCATTAAGAATGCAATAACAAATAGTAAATTGAAAGAGGAAGAATCATCTGCTGTTAAAAAAATGCCTAAGAAAAAGGAAAATGAGACTCAAACTATGAGTTTTGATAGGCAATAATTCAGAAGTTATTTTCA